ATTATAAACATTATGGCAAGAAAAAATAAAACATGAGGGTACGATGTGTTCCACCCTTTCTTTCCTCCAGCTGGAACTTTGTCAAGCAGCAATGGAGGTCGTTTGGGCTTCGCCACTTGCGTATCATCAGTGAGAACTTTGGCACCCCTACCTTCTGCTGCAGATGGGTAGATTACCTGGGAGAAAGAAAATACTTGATGCAGCTGAAGAATCTGTGTGACTTGGGCATTGTAGATCTGTATCACCACTATTTGATATTAAAGGATCCTACACAGTGCAGTTTGAATTTACCACACTGCTTCATCCACTTTGTAAAGAAGTTGTCAGCAGAGGAGATGACTATTCACCTTAGTCCAAAGCCACCTCAACATCTTTGTTTTCTTTTTTTTTCTTGGTGAGACAGGGTCTCACTAAGTATTTCAGCCTGGCCTTGAACTCACTATGCAGCCCCAGCTGGCCTCGAACTCGTCAGCCTCCTGAGTGGTAGGATTACAGGCATGCACCACCATGCCTAGCTAATATCTTTATTTTCTAAGCTTTGTTGAAATACATTATACCAGAATTAACTTGAAACATGCTGTCTGTTTTAACAGTGGGGCCTGTACAGTATTTTTATCCATGTTTAAAATAATTAGATTTTGATCAAAAGCAAACCATCTAATGTAATTAATCAAGGAACAAGCTTTCAGGACTTTCAAATATTAACTGTTTCTTCCCTGTATAGGAATTGCTATAAAGCTCAGCTTAGTTAGGAATGACTTAAATATTTTGTTTGGAACACCTAACCATGTCTTTTGGATATTTATATTGCCATATTCTTAATTGAATGCTTTGAATGACTGACTACATGTATGTCTGCACCTATGCCCTCTGGTACTGCTTTATACCCTTCCTGGAATCCGCTTTCTAAAAAATGAAGACATTTTCAGATTTGGAAAAAAGGAAGAAAAGGTCTGGGGATTTAGTTCAGTGGTGCTGCTGCCTACCTCGCAAGCGCAAGGTTCTGAGTTTGATCCCTGGTACGAAAAAGAAAAAAGGAAGGAAATATTGTTGATGTTATGTTTATAAGGATATTTTATAATCTTGTATTTACCTATCCATAGGTATATGAAGTGAAGTTCAACATTTTCTACCAAAATATCTTTTGAGGTTTTTGGGGGTGGGGTACCAGGAATGGAACTTGAGACTTTGCACTTACAAGGTAGGCAGGGCGCCACCAAGCTGGCCCTGATATTTTGTTTTCTGTTGTTAACTACTTCTGTAATACCTATGTTTTTCCTCTCATTCTGAACATTTTAACTGACTTTCAGCTTGCAGTACATCCCATCATATCATCCTAGCTTGATTATAGAGGACTTTTCTTAATCTGAAAGGGTTAAAGAGGCGAAAGCACCGTTGCTTGCTCTTGCCTCTATTTTGATTTCGTAACAATGTTCTTTCTGTGCTTCCCACCATCCATCCAGTTGTCCAGTTCAAATAATGACAAGCTTAACTCCATAGTAACCTCATTATCTTTTATCAAAGTCATTGAGTTTTTAATAATTTACACAGTCCTAGGCTCTATTCTAGTTCTGAATTCAAATCTGTAGTTTGGCCTATAAACCTGCATTTTTTAATACACTTGTTAATTCTTAGATACACTAAAAATCTGAGAAAGTATTTAACTTTGGAGACTTTGTCATCTGCTTGTTTACTACAGTTAGTATAATAAGCAAAACTGCGGCCTTACACCACATCCCGAGTCCGTTGTTATTTTTTTTTTTGACATAAGGTCTTTGTTAGTTACTTTTCTCTCGCTGATACAAAATACCTGACACCCAAAGATAAAAGGGAAAATTTTTTTTTTTGTACCAGGAATCGAACTCCAGTCCTTGGTGCTTGCGCAGCAGGGCTCGAAACCACTGAGCTAAATCCCTGGCCCTAGGGAAAGATTTATTTAGCTCACAGTTTATAGAGGTTTCAGTCCATAATCAGCTGCCTCCAAGCAGGCAAGGCAGAGGGGCTACAGTTCATGGGTGGGGAAGACAGTATCTTTCTGCGCCTTTTATCTTATTCAGACTACTTAGGGTGGGTAGCACTCACACCCTTAATCCTAGTGCCCTAGGGCCTAGCATTGTAGTGTGAATCAATCACACACTCTAGATTCAACCACCTCTGAAAAAGCCCCATCTAAGACTGCAGAAAGCTTTAGAGCGACATGTAGACACAAGCTATGACAGGATTTTATAGATCCTAAATTGCTCAGGCTGGGCTTGAACTTTTTTATTTTAATCTATACCTCTATTTATTTATGTTTTATAAATTTTATTTTATTTTATCCCATTCCTCCCCTCAAGCCCCCATCCCTCCCTATGTACAAAAGCTTTGTTTCCATTTTCTCCTTCTATTTTCACTTTTTTTCTTGTTGCTTCTTTCCTTTCTCCCTCCCTCCTCCTTTGTTCCCCTTCCCATTTGAACACTTTCTTCCCATTTCCCAGCATGCATTCTACATCTCAGTCCTTATTTCTACATTCAGTT